CGCGCCCGCCTTGTCCAGGAACAGAGCCAGGGCTGGCCCAGGAAGCGGGCCTCCTTTTCCAGCTCCCGGCCAGGTGCGCCTGTTTCCTGGTTAGCGATAACTGGGCTTTCGGAGAGCAGCCCTGCAGTGCAAATGCTGCTCTGCTGAAATCCGAGAGTCTTAAGCGCAGTATTAGGAGCCTCCCGGTCTCGGTGGTCAGGTGTGTTTCTTCCGTCCAGCTCCTTTTATTTAGCTTAGGGAAACACGCCACGTCGTGCGTACGTAGACAGTACTTGCCAGCGTTTTTCACAAAGAAAGGTGTCTGCCTCTCTCTGCGATTCCGCCCTATTCTTCCCAGAGTGGAGAGAAGCCTCAGCAGCACTGCTGCCCTTCCTTTGGAAGAACTGGGAAAGGTTTTTCTGGGGAAAGGAGTGGAAAACTTTGCCCTTAGCTGATTGGTTAATGTCTTGCAGCGTCCTCTCCAAGGCTCCAGAAATCCAGTTTGACGGGATTCTGAAGCTAGCTAGGCCACAGCAGGGCAGTTACAGTCTGGGTGTGTGTGTGTGGGGGGTGTGGGTGTGGGTGTGGGTCGTGTTGCAGGTTTGTTTGGGTTGTTTTTTTTTTTTTTTATTTTTTTTTTTTTGGTCAATACTGGGGATTGAACCCAACTGAGCTATATCTCTAGCCTTTTATTTATTTTTATCTTGAGACAGTATCTCACTAAGTTGCCAGACTGTGTTCACACTTGAAATCTTCACGCTGCAGCCTCCCAGATCATTGGGATCGTGGACGAACATCACCACACCTGGCTTCCTTGTTTTAAAAATGGGGATGAGGCCTATCACAAAGGTTGATATATTAAATAGAGCTGTATATAGATTGCCCTAAGAAATTGTTTCATTTAAAAATTTTTGTTGCAGCAATATATTTTACAGTGTGAAGACAGACAATTCAGTGTAGCTTTCCTCTCTGCTGACCTAATGGTTAGTTTTATAATCAGTGATGTCAAGTCAAGGAGATAATGGTATGTGTGAAGAGTTTGCACTCTCCAAGAAACTTGAGTACACTTATGGTCGCTGTGTGAAGGCCCTTCCCCCACACCAGGACCCGGACGTGGGAAGTGACTGCAGGTAGGCAGGAGGGGGCGCCCTCCTGCTCCGCAAACCTAGAGAGGGACCTTCCTTTCTCCCCTGAGGGAGAACGAGGCAGAGAAGCACTGTAGACTAGATTTCCAGCCATACAGCTATATTCATGCTTGATTTTGCTCTTGGTCATCTCTTGTTCTTTAAGACTGTCTTGACAGAGTCTTACATTCAATTTGCAGAGAAGCCATGGCAAGACCATGGTGTTAAAGGGAGAGCCTGCTTCACATGCCAGCAGTGACAGAGCTCAGCTGAGGACTCTAGGAACATGGGTTTAAGAAAGGGATTAGGACTGATGGTTTGGTCAGCCACTCCTCCCCTTTGGGAGATGTCCTTGCAGCCGATGACTTGGAGGTACCGAGTTGTGCTTTGTTATGCAGGCAGCAGACAGCCTGTCCCAGCAGTCACACCTGAGTAACCTTCTCTCCAGTCTGCCTGTCTCTGCTCTGGGTAGGGAGCAGAGTGGAGACGGGACTGTCAGGTAGGTGGCCCAGAACATGGGCTCATACTAGGTAGACTGCGCTGAAGCCTCCTTCTTGTATACAGGTGTGGGAGGTGGCAGTGCACAGAGAAGTATTTGGGGCACTGGCTCTCCATTCACGACACATGAGAGAAATAGAAAGCAAATGCTAACATTTGGGAAGTCTGGGTGAAGGCTATGTGGGAATTCCTTTTAGTATTGTAGTGCTTTTCCTGTCAATGTGAAATTATTTCTAAAGAAAAGGTTAGAAGTATAAATCTTGGCATTTTTCCATGCAGGCATATAGATTTATATGAGTCACTCTGCATGACATACTGCTGCACAGATACGTGTGCTGTAACCAGGTGGACTCCTGTCATTGGGTACCTGATTGTTTCCAGTCCTGTCACGATAAACTGTTGCTTGGATTCTTAACTATGATCTATCCTTATGTAGCAAACACCCCTGCTCCCATGATAGGACTCAGAAAATTTCACAATTAACCAACCAGCTGGAACCTAAGGCTTTTATTAGAATTTTAAATGGATTAAATGGCAATTGTAGTGGGGTTAGGTAAAAGTTGTTAATCTGTAGTGTCTTCAGTTGTGGTTTATCCAATGGAGTAAAACTTAAAAGAAAAAACAGTCTTTGGCCATAAAAAAAAATCTTGGCTGTTGACTGCTTGAATGGTTAGGGATTGCAGGAAGAAGTTTTCCAAGGGTGCAACTCCCCGACCTCATTTATTCTGTTTAAACAGTGGCTCAGTCTTGCCTGCCCTCATCCCAATGTGTTTCACTGTTTCTGTCGATGGCCAGCTATTGCTTGGATTCCCTTTCTCATTCTAGCAGCAGGTAGCACACGGGGCCTCTGTGCCCAACGTCAGGACAATCACATGCTCTGCTCTGCTGATTCTTCTTCAACATCTGATCGGGATTTTTTTTTCTGATAGTGCATGTAAGAAGTGAAACCAAAACGTGTTTTATCTTTTGATGAAAAAGAATTTGTTTCTCTGACTTTTAGCTGAAATAGAGCACTGATGTATTGTCCAGTTTTTAGACTCCCTTCAATGGTTTTAAAACACAAAGAGCTAGTTGTTGTCAAGCAGGAAGGTCTGTAGGTGGGTTCAGGAGATATGCAGGGCACCCTCAATTCTCTTAGTGATACCTCCAAACTTCTGACCCCACCTCACCAAATGACAGACTGCAAAAATGTCCACAAAAACCATTTCCAGGGAATTTACATATTTTAAGAGCATATCCAGGCAGCTCAAATTGTGTTTGAGTTGGACATTTTCATCCTATTTTGCTACAGGACAGGGTGTTTGTTGTATGTCGTTCCCTCTTCATTCCTCAGAGTTTGTCTTAGTTTTATTGTTGCTGAGACAAAGTACTCAACACCCAAAGTTGAAGGAGGAAAAGTTTATTTTGGCTCACAGTTTGTAGAGGTTTTAGTCTATAGTCAGCTGGCTCCATGGCAGAGGGGCATCACAGAGGAGAAATAGTTTACTGCAGGCTGAAGGCAGCAAAGTAGCAAAGAAACAAGCGGGCACAGGTTGCATACCCTTCGGGCAGGTTGCATCCACACCCAGAACTATGCCAAACCAATCAGTAGACTGATTTAGTAATCACACACCCTTGATCCCGCTGCCTCTGAGAAGGTCCACCTATGACTGCGTGAGGCTTTGGGGACATCGAGGCACAAACCATAACGGAGTGGAAGGAGGGACCAAGGGATTATTAAACCTAAGCTATGAGTTAGTAAGCACGGCTGTGCTAAGTCACAGGCTTCAGTCAGAGCCCTGAGCAAGGAAAGCCCATCTCGGCCTTGCGGAGTGGTGGGTGCTGAATGACATGGAGGGGCAGTGGAGGACTGTGCGGTGGTGCTCCAGTGAACACTCACCAACCTGTGCCACTCTGCACTGCCAGCCACACAGCTTGCAGGAGTTGACCCAGAACAAAAGCTGCTGGTTGGTCTGTTGTAAACACAGAGTCATAGGGTATGTTACTTGTCTCTAGTCAGAAAATCATTGTTTCTGATTTAAGTTTGCTGTTTTCTTTGCACCTAACAATGTGTAGACCATACAGTGGCATTTCCTGGGCTCTGTCATGAGGACTCCAGTAGCAGCAGCAGCAACCACCACCATCCTGTGTTTAGCTGGGCATAGGAGGCAGCAGGAATAGCTAGTTGGTCTTTCTCCAAGACACTAAGACTCTCTTCTGTCAGTGAAAACCTCTGTGTGTGTGTGTGTGCGCGCGTGCGTGCGTGTGTGCCCGTATGTTTGCATTGTGTGTGTACGTATGTGCACATATGAAGTGAAAATGCTGGCTTGAAGTGAGGTGATAGATATTTTTAACTTTAAAATGAATTTTGGAGCCAGTTGTGGTAGCCCATGCCTGTGTAATCCCAGCCTTGGGAGGCTGAGGCAGGAGTATTACAAGTTTGAGCCCAGCTTGATTAATTTAGTAATTTACTGAGACTCTGTTTCAAAATAAAAAAATAAATAGGGACTGGGGATGTAGCTCAGTGCAAAAGCCCCGTGTTCAATCCCTAATACCATGGCGTGGGGTGAATGTTGGCAGGTTTGAATATTGGAAGATAGTGAAGAGCTGTCCCTGATTGGACTTTGGCCTGTGTTCCATGGCCCCACTAATGTGTTCAGATGATCACCATTTTTTTGCATTCATCTTGTCTCACTTGTGGGATGTTATGAGGTAGCTGACTGCAGTGCCTGTTGTAATCTCTTCTGCTGTATCTGTTACTCCCTGAGATGCGTGGACATGCTCTTTATTTTATACACAAATGCTCATTGATAACTTGATCCCATGGGTCACAGCCATGGCATAGTCTGCCATGGTCTCTAGCTCCTGATTCTTTGTGTTTCTCCCAAGAGTAAGCTGGGCAAATCTCTTGGGTCTTTCTTGTCCAGAATGTAGGATCCCCAGTGCTCAGTCAGGAAGAGGAGGCCCAAGGTCCCTGCTGGAGAGAGCAGGAACGCCAGCATCTGCTAACTGGTGTTTGTGCCCTAATCCTCTCCTCCTCTTCCTTTTCAGCAGACCTACTCTAGTGACATCCACTGTGTTGAAGAGATTCTGAAGGTGAGTTCTGCTTGCTGTCTCGTCTGAAGGATGTTAAAGCCGTGTGTGTGCGTGTGCGTGTGTGTTCGTGTGTGTTCGTGTGTGTGCACCTGCATTAAAGGACAGCTGCCAACCCCAGCCCTCCCAGAAAATGTCTGAAGGATGTTAAAGCCGTGTGTGTGCGTGTGCGTGTGTGTTCGTGTGTGTGCACCTGCATTAAAGGACAGCTGCCAACCCCAGCCCTCCCAGAAAGGGGCTTTCACCCCACACCCTCATAGACCCTGACAGTAACAAAGGGAGACTTAAAGCACTACCAAATTTTATAACAGGTTTTATTAATTAAAAGGAACCTCACAAACTGCCAGTTTTATGGTGTTTCTCATGTTTTTGTGGTTGTGTATAATGATCCAGAGAGCTGCTCACATCCCTGAGGAGATGGCTCCTGGTACTGCTGTAGTAGCAGGCACTGGGTGGGGTTAAACAGCCTGGATTTATACCCACTGTGTTTCCTAGGTGACATCTGGTGTGTCTGGCCTCTTCTTCAGAGAGAATGACATTTTAAAGGAGGGACAAAATGAAAAAGTGGAAAGTAAAAGTACATTTTTTTTGGTACTGGGGATCAAACTTGGGACCTTGCACTTGTGAGGCAGGCAGCGGAACCACTGAGACTAATCTCTGGCCCTTAGTAAAAGCACATCTTTAGGCTTCACCCCAAGGGCTTATTTTTTGCTCCTGTTTATTGCAACTGTTCATAAACATTTGTGCTGCCTCTCCATGTGAATTGTGGAATACGTTACCCATCCTTCAGTTTTTCTTGTTCATGAGGAATTCCTTTCAGTATTCAGTTCCAGTAAACAAACAAATTCTCTTAAACTGACATGCTTTCTATCAGAGAAGAACCACATAAACTATCATTTCCTTTTTGGCTTTAATTTCTTATAAATGTGTAGTTTAATTTCAATGCTTAAATGCATCAATTGTAGTATTGTGTGTTTTTATTTCTCTTCCTCTGTGGCTTATAAGTTGCTTCTGTGTCAGTTTTAATGATTCTTCACTGTAAAGTTTTTTAATTTAAAGTAGAAGTCAGGTATCTGGCCCTGGTCTGTTAATCCTAATCTCTACTCATTTTTCCCTCAAAATATACTTAAAGGATTTTGTCTTTTACTTCTCTTTGTAAAGTTGTAAGTGATGGTGGTGCTTACAGTCATCATAGAAGTATGTTGGTTGCTGTGGTGGTGATATTTGGGTGTTTTAATAGTTTTTGTTTGTTTTTATCTTTATTAAATTTATTGGTACATTTTAGGTATACAATACAATTACATTCATCATTGGGATCTTGTACCTTTACGTGACTTATCTTGGTTCTTATTTTTCCCCACTCCCCAGCCCTCCCTTCAGTCCCTCTACCCTTTCCTGTTTACAAAGACATTGTTTCCATGGTTTTACTTTTCACATATTTTTCTTTTCCCTTTTTCCCTTTCCCCTATCCCTCCCACTTCCTCTACTCTTTTAGACTTTACTTCCTATTACGCAATATCAGTTACACATTTTGATCTTTATTTACACTTTTACTTTCTCATGCCAGAGAAACTTCAGTACTTACATATGTGTGACTTATTAATTTCACTTGAGTATAGCCTCAGTGTGCATCCACTTGGCTATGAACCTCTCTAGTTTCTCATTCCTTATGGCTAAGTAAAATTTTATCAAAAAAAATTTTATCCAGTCTCCACTTGACGGGTAATTGGGCTGTTTCAAATCTTAGCTATTATACACTGTGCTGCTATAAACATGGGTCAGCATATATTGTTGTGGTATGATTCTGTTAATTTTGGGAAGACAGCCAGCAGAGAGAATAGCTAGGTCAAATGGGACTTCTAATCCTAGTTGTTTGAGGTATCTCCATATTGATTTCCACAGTGGCTGCACCAGTCTGCACGCCCACCAACAATGAAGAAGGTTTCCTATCTCCCCACAACCCCACCAGCATTTGTTATTGGTTGATTTCCTGATAGCAGCCATTCTTTGTGGGGTGAGGTGGCATCTCAGTGTTGTTTTCATCTGCATCTCTTGAATGACCAGTGATGTTAAACATTTTTTTCATATGATTATTTGCTGCTTTTGAGTGCTTGCTGAGCACCGGGATTGTAGATGTGCACCACCATGCCTAGCTTGTTGGTGACCTTTGCCATGTGAAAATTTTGACAGTCGTATCTGGCCAGATATTTTGGAGAGACTGCCATCATTTTTGTTTCACAGTATTTTTCTCTTTTGTAGCTAGGGCTTTCTGAGAAAGTTGCCTCTAAGCTTGAAGTATATTTTAGCTGCTAAAGATGAGAAATTTTTGCCAGCCAGTACATAAGATAAATGATCAAATTACCTTGATCAAATTTTTGTATCATACTTTCCTGTTTCTATTTCTGAAGTGTCTTTCCTCGTGAATTCTCAGAGTAGCTCCAGACACGACACATGCCTGTAATCCTAGCACTCAAAGGCTGAGGCAGTGGACTATACCACAAGTTCAAGGCCAACCAGGGTTACATAATGAGTTCAAGACCAGCCTGAACTGCACAGCCAGACTCCCTCTCAAAAAAAAAAAACAAAACAAATAAAACTTCTGAGAATAAGGACTGACCTAATTATAAAATAGGGCCTTAACATTTTCAGTGGTATTGGGTTGACTTGTGCTACAGTTACAGAACTGCAGGGGTAGAGCTTTGCTGTTTTCTGCATAAATGGTTCCTCTTGGGTTTGATGTGTGTTACTGTCACACACAGCTCAGTCTCACATACCCTTCCTGTATAATTGATGATATAGCATCAGAGAAATGAACGTATTTTTCTTCAGTTTTTATTGTTATTGGTTCGTGTTTGCAGTACAGGTGCTGGTGCCGGCAGATGCTCTCTAGGGCCCGTCCCTGCTCTCTGATGCTGATGCAGACATCACCCTCTGCCTCACTGTCCCCTTGTTACCTTGCACCGACAGTTTATTAAAGATGGCTGGGAGGAATCTAGACACGGGAGGTACAGGCCATGGATGGTTTCCTAACAGCACAGATAAGTCACTGCTGTTGACTGGTTGTCAAGGGTATACTGGAGGGGGGAGTTGTCCCTATTACTCCCACAGGTTGATGGGTGAGCAGGTAGCAGGTGATTCTGCTCACAGACAGGACCCGGCCATGCAACAGCATCCAGAAAGGGTAGCACACTGTCTGGAAGGTGCAGGCAGCTGGTGTTTTCTACTTACAGCCTGTTGGGGAGTCAAGGCAGTTGGAATAGGCTCTTCCTTAGTGCAGTGATGCCAGGGATTGTGTCTTTGTTCATATTATTCAAGAAATCCCCACTGGCTTGCAGATGCTCTTCAGCACTGGGTGCCCCAGTGAGGCAGAGTCTTGGCTGCCATGGCAGTCGAGATGTGGGTCTAGCGGAATAGAGGAAGAGTCCGGGGAGGAGAAAGACAGGGAGTAGTGGGCTTAAGGGCCTCCAGGTGGGAAAAAGTCAGTACATTTGAGGAGCAGCCAGGACTGGAGCCAAATGAGCGAGGAGGAGAGCGGGCAGCAGCCATGGGGTACAAAGGGTGGTAGAGAAGCAGGTGCCTGCAGCTGGGCTCTGTCCATGTGAGGGGTCATTGTGAAGGCCAGGAGCAGAACCATGGCTCCCCTCAGAATGCCCCTAGTGCCTCCCTGCCTCTGGCAGGCTAGTTACCTAGGGAAGTGCATAAAAATCTTCAGACTGCCAGGGAACTCTAGGGTCTACGGAATTTATGCACTTTCCAGTGGCCTGACTTAATGCCTCGGGCAGACTTTAGGCATGGAGGATGACAGTGGATGTTGTTTAGGAATAATGGGTGACTGGGTGTCATTGACACTACAGAGATTCTGAAGAAATTCCTGGAGAACATAAGGTAATGCTTTCAAACACCAGCTCAGTTAATTGCTACATGTTTATATCATAGCATTCTGATGGTTTCAGACTTTAAAGTTTTTGCCAGATAAATAAACCAGCAGGGAAGCACTGTTAGCAATACACTATTGAAATTTTTTAAACTTAGATTTTTAGTCAAACATGGTAATGATCTGCATATTTTATGAGCCTTCTGTACAACATGCATTCAAGCATTCACTTACTTGCACTATTCCTACCATACTTTAAAAATAAGTGCTCTGAGTCCAACCGTTAGTGAGAAACTGAGGCTCTGAATTCAGGCCCCTCCCAGAGGCAGACTTAGCTCAGAGTGGGGTTCTCCTGTTGGTATCTGGCTGCAGAGCAGTTGCTCTTATCATGGTCTTAGCAGGACTCCTGCTGTGTGCTGGACCAGGTTGGTGGCCAGTCTGTAGAAGAGGGCAGGCTTCATTTTTAACAAAATGGCCCAAAGCCGGCATCAGTTCCATCACTGTGCAAGGTCACTTAGTCTGTCCTGGGGCTGGGATACCACAGAGTAGGGGCTTCTTAGACTTCCCCAGGAAAATCGGGGGTTTCTGATGTGCAGCTGAATCGTCTGAGACCTTAAGTGTTCTCATCTGTAAAATGTTAGGTTAATGATCTCCGGTGCCATTTTAGCCCTTCTAGAAAGTAAGAGTGTACATTAGACACACCTTTTATCTGACATACCTGTTTACCATGGGGGCGTGCGCGTGCGTGCGCGTGTGTGTGCGTGCGCGTGTGTGTGTGTGTGTTTTCACAAAACCAAATAGGATTCACAAATATGTTAGGAGAAAACAACTTATTTAGGATAAATGTATCAATTTGTAAGCTTCAGGAATCTTTCCTTCAATGAAATAGTGAAAATCAAACTTACCGGAAAAGAAAGGTAATCTTTGAAGGCTGCCTCCTCCAGTGGAGTTCTCTGTGCCTATGGAGAGTATATATATCAGGGGAGGGTCAAATCGATTAAAGGGCTCCCAAGTGGAACAAGTGGCCTCAATTACTTGTTTGCTTAAGTCAAACAGGAAAGTTCTTCTTCCTTTGAACTTGTCATTCCAGGAAACGCAGTAAACCAGCCCAGGGAGAAAGTGAGCAGGAGGGGAGCTGCTGTCGGCCCAGCCTGCTGTTTGCCGCACTCCTGAGCTTGCACGAGCCCCCCTGCCCTCTCTGGGCTCATGGGTGCTGTTGTACTTGGCATGTTGCACCTCTTTGCTTTCCTGTTTTATTCTTCAAACTGGGGCTTTTTTTTTTTTTTTTTTTTT